TTTAGCCCTACGTAAGATGGCACTAGACAGCTTTGTGCAACGGGTGAAGTCATCTCTCTAAAGTGTGATGTTGAACTTTAGAGACCAGAGAGCCACAGAAGAGAAAGGAAAATTATTTGAAGCACACTGACAGTCTGGCCTACTGGGGGCGCTGTTAGCTTGTGGAGAGACCAAACACCTCTTGGTCCGAGCAGCCAGAACACAAAATAACCATCATGAATGAACCTAGTGTAACATCCTGTGTGAATATACAGTCCATGTGTATTTATGTGATTATTCAAATGTGTGTGGTGATGTGTAGGACACATGCCCAAGCAAACACATACACCACACACATAGCCCGCCACATTTCATAACTCATGCTTGGTGCAGGAGTATTAGTTACAGGATTGAGAAATGATTTGATTATAAAATAGCGTTGACATGGCTTTCTTATGCAACTCATGCCAAGTTCCGTGTGTGTGTGTGTGTGTGTGTGTGTACCAGGGCCCCAGTAGTTTGTGTGGGAGTGTGTCTGTGTGTGTGGATGTGCAGTATGAGTCTATGTATTAAAGACAGGAAAGGAGAAAAAAGAGAGAGAGGTGAGGTTAAAAAAAAAAGGATATACATGTATTTACTTATAAATCAGAGCACAGTATTTGAATACTGTGTGAGAATGTGTTTGCCCTTTCCTAAGAGGACCCTGAGTGGATCAAAACTGCTGACACCCCAGGTAGTATCCCCCTAAAGGAGCCAGCGGCTGTCAGACCTGAGATCAGAGCTCAGTAGTGTCTGTCCTCCCTCTTCTACTCTCTGTAGGGTCTGTCACAGCAAGTTAGCGCTTAGCCAAAAGCAGCGATCGACAGTCAGAAGTAATGACTGTGACGACTGGCAGCGAGGATCGGACTGTTCAAAAAAAGAACAGCCAAAGATGGAATACTCTCTTTAATACTACTTGAACAACAGGGAAGGAAACACATGGTGTCCGACAACAAGAGAGGCTATAAACAGGATAAATGTTTAGCCAAATAATCTAAACCAGAGGATCCTGGCCTTTTTAAACCAACATTCCTCTTTACAATGACTTCACTTCTCTTAATGACTATTTCTGCCTGCTGTGCATCCACAGAAGTCAAGGCACAGCGACCAGGAACTATGAGCTGTCATGTCACTAATATTAGCCACAGCATTACTGCATATTTAATATGGTATGTTCAGTGTTTTTGCTTATTTAAAAACATCACGTAAATTCTTGATAACTAAAGTAACAGCTTTATACAACCCTATCTACTAACAATTACATTTCTATATTCCTAATTTGCCACAGTAAATGTGTTTCAAAGAAAGCCATCTGGGTTAACTTTAAACATTGTTAATTAAAGCTGAAATGTTGATATTGAATGTATCAGTACAATTTTCATTCACAGATTGTGGGTTTTTGGTTTAATACAAAAAGGTCTATAGTGAGTAGAAACATGAGATTCAGTGTTTATTGCGCTGAGGTTTAATTTAACTAAAACCATGACTCAGGATGAGAACCCCGGTCTTTCATGTAATGCTGCACTTTTGTACCCCAGTCACCCAGCCCCACCTTCTCCCACTGTGCCTGTTTGGTCCAAAAATGTAAACAAATGTAAACAAATTAGTGTGTATAAAAAGAGTTTTTAGGAAACATGGATGTGGTGTAACATTATTAAAAAGGTACAGTAATAAATCTTGTGGTGTCCTCAGTAAATCCATAAGGCAATCATGTTAGAAACCACTGGTTTAAACATTTTGGAGGTAAAACTGAGGGCAGCGCACCTGAAATGTTGCACAGGAAAACTGCATGTATCCACAATTACATGTTGCTCCAGAGTTGAAGCAGGACTTGGGTCTGTGAACTGTTAAATGGTTTCTCATTTGCCTTTGTTTTTCCTTTCTAATAGGTTTGACCCTGACAAAGGCTTTATGCTGGAATGCGTTGGTCTTTTATCTTTGCATTAAAGTTGCTCGGACAACTACAAGTGTTGCCAGACTTTTTGCTTTCCAGTTTGTTGCCCTGCATTTGTGCACCTTGACAGTGGGTGAAGTTGTAGTAGGTTTGACTACCCAAAGTACTACTTTTTAAACTTCTCATATTGTCTAACTGTTATGTTTCTCGATCCTTGGAGATGCTGCTCAGCAGTTACCTTGGTGGGTGTGGTGTGATTTTTAAAAATAGCAATATATATAATATAAAAAATAAGACCCAGATTAAAAATAAAAACAGAACTATCATTGTGCTTTAAAGTGTTTAACCTTTGGGTTAGTGCTTTGAACATATGGCTCAGGAAGACCAGATTTAGGTAAACTTACAACTGGCAAAAAAATGTTAATATAAGGAGGAGGATGCATTAAAAGTCTTCCATATAAAACACTGTATTGGTGGTTAAATTACTCAGCCTTTGCACTGGCCGCTGGCTGTGTGTGCAGTGGTGTTGGGAGTGTACGCACCCCTGACTGTGTGCCAGGGCTCTGGTCAGCCCACCCGTCACAAATGTGCTGCCAGCTCTCGTTTGGCAGGCACTCTGAAACCCCTCTTTACCTCTGCAGCGGTCAACAGTGGCAACAGCTCTTTGTAACCACATGTATGAGTCAGTATGACCAGAGGGTTTGTGTGTGTTCATGTGCCTTTCTGATGGGGCGCGATGTGGGTTTGTGAAAACTGTGTGCTTTTTTAAAAAAAGATTAATTTCTTTCATTTTAAGGATCACTGCACCCAAATTATCAAAAACACATTTTCTGCTCCCATCTAATGGTAGCTAGCCATGAAGATAGTTCAAGATTTCATGTAGAAAAAGATATAGTATCTGTCAATAAGAATCATGCTTCCGCCAAAACAATGTGGAGGTGAATGAAATTTCATTTGTGGTTGTCACAGCATTAAAAATCACATTTAAACTTTCAACAGTAGCAGCTCTTCCCAGAAACAGTGCTCGCATTACTCTTAATAAGCCACAGACCTCACAGTCAACAGTTTTCACTGGGACTATTTCTTTAGTAGAATGCATTTCCAAAGAAAACTGTACACAGTGAGGGCTGTGGATTATTCGGAGTAACTGGGACATTTAGACATGTGGCGGTTGATATTTTTTTTGGGGGGGGGGAATCCTAATACAAACTTATGCTGTGTATCCAAGCATTGTTCATTCCATGAGAACTTTATTTTGAACTCTAGAGGAAAGCCAAAGTTTCCAGAGACCCAGTAAGTGAGGCAGATTTTTTGGGAAATGTGTATAAAGTGATGCACAAGACATAAAATATTTCTGTGATTCAATGGTGTAGTCAAAAAAGAACATGGAGTCTGGGGTTTGTATATTACACTCAGTGTAAACATCATATACTGTGGCTTGACAGAACAGAAGATAAAGAATATTTATGATACGCTTGTTACTACTTTAAAAATTGGTTTACATTTTTTCAGATCTATCATAAAACAACACAGTTTTTGGCCCCTGTAATTACTTTCACCGGCTTTGATGTGACCCTTTTCTAGCTTGATGAAAAAAATTCCCTTTCTGTGTTTTCTCTGGACAGTGTTTCCTTGCTGAGCTACAGTGGAGGGATTGTAACAAAGAAGAAATTAAAGAAGAACTCCATCAACTTTATGCATTTAGTTTGATAACAGGTTTTTGGGGAGTAGTACTGCATATGTGAAAAAATAAAGTGTGGCTCCAGAAAGAGCTGTGTGAAGATAGTGATCGTTGTTTTCTGTCAGTTGAAAAGTCAGACAATGCGAGTGTTGGTTCAACTTAATGACGGATGTTGCCCCTTTTGGAACTTTCATCAGAAGAACAAAGGAAACGCTTTTTGGTTAAAGCTGTTTTAAATGTTCTACTTTTTTATAATGGAAATGTGCTGCCATTTTTATGTCGTAATTATGTGGTATTTTATTTATATTATATGTCCCCGTTCCATCTTTTTTCCTTATTATTATTATTTTGGTTTCATTTATCATACTTGGAAGAACTACTGTGTGTGTCCAGATTTGTTTTGTTTGGTATTGTGCTGCTTTATGTTTTGTATCAACTGAAATTCTATCTGTTGAATAGATTAGAAAAAAACAAGTTGTTTCAAGTTAGAGAGAAATGAGCATCTCTGTACCCCTCCACAATAGCTGTTACTTGCATAACACTCCTGAAACTCTCATTGAACTGTCAGTGGTGGAATTGCATTGTGGGTAATTGAGGCACCAGGCTTTGACAAGGAAGGAGAATGTGTGGAATAGGAGAGAAGACCTGTCTGGTTCTGCTGCAGAATGCAGCATTTCTATTTGTTTGTTTGTTTTTCCTGCCCCAAGCTCAATAATGTTTCAGGGGTGCAATGATAAATTGGTGGTGTGCTCCTTTAAAGTGGCAACTGACAAATTAACTTTACCTATGGGTAAATGAGTGTCAGAACCAGGACAAATGAAATTAAAATACTACTAGAGGTACCTGCGTTGTATCTGCAGTCTTAACTCCTGTTCACTACTGCCCTTTTGCACCTTGCTCTAAAATCTCCCCAGAGCCTCCACTATAAGACATTTGACGCTCAAGCCCCTTCCTCCTCACACATGCACAAAAACACACACTCTGAAACTCTATGTCTCTGAGATTTCACTCTCTTTCTGTCTATACTCCCTCCTTTTAGCCATGAACTACAACAGCTAGACAGGACTGCACACAAACACATATACAAAAAAAATCCTCCTGCTGACATGCACACACACTTTCGCTGCACGTGCATTGAGTGGAACAGCTCGGCAGTGCTGCACAGTAGTGAGGCAACGGTGTGTGATTGAGAAAGGGGGCGTGGAGAAAGAGAGAGAGAGACAGAGAAAGAGAATCTACTCTCCCTCTCGCCAACTAAAGGAAAGCACTGTTGTGGAGAAGCTGCATGAAGCGGGTGGCTCCAAATGAGGATTTTCTTACCAGATCATGGAAGCCAAGCAGTGGATG